ACACACACACACACACACATACACACACAAAAACAGGACTGGCAGAGAGTAGAGTTAACAAAGACTGCCCTCTGGTGGCTACCTTGGTTCGTGCAGGTGATGGGCAAATGCCACACAACGCATTTAAAGTTTGAGGCTGGGCGGGTTTATTTGTTCTTCGTGTTTTTGCAGCACTGAGGATTGAACCTAGGAAGGAGCACATACTAAGCAAGCATTCTACCACTGAGCTCCATCCCAGTGCTCTTTCTACTTTCTATTTTGAGATGTGTCTTGCTAAGTGACTTATGCTGGCCTTGAACTCACTTTGTATTCCAGGTAGGTCCTGTGATATCCCTGACTCTGCCTCCTTAGTGCTGAGATTAAAGGCACACAGACCCTCTCAGAGTCTTAGACTTGTTTTGCTGGGTGGTGGTGGTGCATGCCTTTAATTCCAGCACTCAGGAGGCAGAGGCAGGCCAATCTCTGAGTTCAAGGGCATTCTGGTCTATAGAGCGGGTTAAAGAACAGCCATAGCTACTCAGAGAAATTGTCTCTTAAGTCGTGCTGGGATCAAGAAAAATGGGCCTTGGCAGTTCATGTTCCTGGAGTTATGTCCATACCAGTGGATGCCCACACACTCCAGAAGAGAATTTGACATTGCTGCTGCCATTGTTGCTGTTATAGCAGTGGTGGCCACAGCTGCTACTGTTTCTGGGATTGCCATTTCATAATTGCTTACTACAGCTAGCACAGTGGAGACCCTGGCAGCAGTTAATTAATCTTTCATTCTATTGGGCATGATAAATTTAATTCAATAATTATATATGTTTTGATTGGCTTTGAAAGTTATAAATTTATAAACTCAAATTCCATTTGCTTTTGGGATACCATCTTACAAGGACTCCAATTTGCAGTAAAGCTTGTTAAGGAAGGGAATGGCTCAGTTGCCTTTAGCCTACTGGCTATGGGTGGGTTAGGACTTCTGTTGGTCTTTTCTGTGTTGAACACACAGATTGCAAGCCCAGTGTCACTTTGAGATCTTTGGCAGCAGTTAACTCTGCAGCTCACACATGATTGAGCCTGTATGATAATGAGTATTCAGAGAAGGGTAATGACTGGGGGGCGCTCACCAACCTAAGAGAGAGCACCTGTGTGGTCTGGGCAGGTGTCTCCATGATGGGTAAGGTGACCTGCTGACGTCCCATGCAACCTAAGTCAGAAGCTCATTTTTTAGTAAAAGGGGGAACCTGCAGGGCCCTGCCCCGTTTTGGGTAACTGTTGCCTTGCTTGCTGACCTTGACCTTGATATCCTCCCTATGCTAATTCCCTGCTGGGTTCCACCCTCCCGAATGCTTAAGGAAAGTTCCTTGTCTGTGTATCCTGCATATTGGGCATTAACAGCTTAGATGCAAGATTGCAAAACATCAGTAGCGAACTTCTGCCCTCCGGGGTTCTCCCATTGTGCTATAAGCCTGTATTTAAGACCTCCTCCCTCCTTCAATAAATGGCATTTGGCATTCAAAAATTAAAAAAAAAAAACAAAAAAAAAAAACAAAAAACCTCGTTTCCCAAGCAAAGAAAACTGGCAGGTTTTTAGGGTTTTGTTGTTGTCTTGGGCTTGTTTAGCATGTATAAATCCCTGGGTTTCACCCCCAGCACATTACAAGCCAGACAAGGTGGTGTACACATGGAATCCCAACACTCAAGATAGAAGGCAGCAGAGTGTTGGAGGCATGTGCTCTTAATCCCAGCACTTGGGAGGCAGAGGCAGGAGGATCTCTGTGAGTTCAAGGCCAGCCTGGTCTACAGAGTGATTTCCAGGACAGCCATGGCTACATACACACACACAAAGATACACACACACACATTTTAAGTGTGTGTGTGTGTGTGTGTGTGTGTGTGAGTGTAGAGTTGCCGGGGAGGTGTCAGATCCCCGCTGCCATTCCAGGCAGCTGTGAGCCTCTGACATGACTACTGAGGATGGAATTCCAGTCCTCCGCAATAGCACTACATGCTTTTAACTGCTAAGTCGTCTCTCCAGACCCTCCTGTGACCTGTCAAAGGAGGAAGCATAACACTAACTTAACCCCTCATCCATACTCTCCTCCTCCCAACAGCACTGAAGCCAGCACATCACTTACCAGGCTGGGTTCCTGCTGGCTGTAAGGTGTGGGATATAGTGCCGCACTGGAAGGCCACTTGGCTCCAGTACTTTCTGACTACCAATGACTTCCCTTCACTCTGTAACCAGGTAGCTGGGGAGCCTGGCTAGGGGACCAATTTATCACTTTCCCTCTGTCCATCTTTGTGTGGTGGCTGAAAGGGATCCACACAGCTGTGATGGCCCTGCTGTCCTGGGATCTCAATACTTCTGTGGACATCAAACTGGCCACTACCAGTCATAAATATGGCTCACACTCCAGCTGTCTCTGTTGATCTCCCTGTGGCCTTTGTGGACACTTAGGAAATGACCTCCACCCAGGGAAGCTCATTGTTCAAAACAAGATGGGCTTCCTCCTCTCCATCTATCCCACCTGAGTGTTCCTAAAAAAGTTGACAAAGGGTCTGGGGGGTGGTTGGGGACACGACAATGAAGAGAATCACAGCCACAATAAAACTTCTAGAATCAGGGCAGGTGCCACTAATTCCTCTCACTCTAGGACAGTGGTTCTCGACCTTCCTAACGCTGCAACCCTTTAGTACAGTTCCTCGTATTGTGCTGACCCCAACCATAAAGTCATTTTCATTGCTACTTCATAACTGTGATTTTGCTAGCGTTATGAATCATAATGTTATTATGTGTTTACTGATGGTCTTGGGCAACCCCTGTGAAAGGGACATTTGATACTCCCCCAAAGAGGTTGAGATCCAGAGGTTGAGAAACGCTCTCTAACACTTCCTACCAATCTACCTGATCCTGCTCTTGCTCCACACTAAGGCCTTCTCCACTCAGATCAAGTGATCACTTGTCTTTTACTTATTTGTTTGAGACCTAGCCCAGCAGGCCTCAAACTCACCATGCAGCTTGAGGATGACCTTGAACTCTTGGTCCTCCTGCCTCTGCTTCCTAAGTGTTGGGATTAGGGAAGTGAGCCACAGTGCCCTGACAGATTACTTGAAAACAAGTATGTTACAGCCTGCTTCTAAGCCGATGGCTTCTATGTTGCAATGATTCCCAGGCTTGCTCCACGTGAACTCTCATTCCTTGCCACTTTCCTGTCCTACTGCAGTCCAGCCCCATGAGTCTTCCTTACTTACGAGACTAGGCCTCATGTAGCCCAGGCTGGCTTTGAACTTGCTCTATAGCTGAGGATGACCTTAAACTTCTCATTTCCCAAACACTGGGGTTATAGGTATGTCAGTTTTATACCATGCTGGGAACTGAACCAGGTACTTTGTGCATGCTAGGCTAGCATTGTATTGAGTTACTTCCCAGGCCCCAGGGGTCTTTTTTTCTGCTCAAACGGGTCGAGCTGTTGTGGCTCGGAGAATTACATCTACTGTTCTGCTGCCACGGACACCCTTCTCTCAGATTCTCACGGAGGCAGCTTTCCCTCATTCAGTTCTTCCGTCAAACACCTTCTCACAAGCTGGATGTGGTGGCTTTACCCTGTAATCAGAGCAACCAGGAGGGAGAGACAAGAGGACTGAGAATTTTGAGGCCAGCTGGGTTTACACGGCGAATTCTAGGTGAGCCTGGGCTGCAGAGCAAGGTGGTCTCAAGAACAAAAGGAACACGCTATGCCTGTTAGTACTCATCTGCACCTCCTGCAAGTACTCATCTGCACTTCGGAGGTAAAGACAAGAGGTTCAGGTCATCCTCAGCTAAATGGCAAGTTCAAGGGCAGCCTGGGTTACAAAAGACCCTAATCTAAAACAAAAACCAGGGGCCATGCCAAAATAAGTGTTACTGTGTTTCAAGCTTGATCCCCCACCCCAACTGTCTTATTAAAAGAGAAAGTTAAAATTTAAAAGGGGGGGGTGGCAAAGAGACGACTCAGTTCATAAAGGTGCTTGCTGCCAAGCCTGATGGCCCAAGTTTGACCCTCAGAACCTACATGCTTGGAGAAATACAACTGACATCCATGTTTAAGCCATAGCTCAAATTCATGCATATACACCCTGCAAAATAAATGAATGTAAAAAACAGACAAAGAAGCAACATCATTCAGAGGCGTTTCCTAACCTCTCAATATCAAGCGGCCTCTCCCAACCTTGCTCTCTCTTGTCCTCATCCTGCATGTATATACTGCAAGCCACAACCTATAATTGTTTGGTTGCTACTACTATTATGGTTACTCATCTGTCTCCTGAATAGAATGTGACTTCTGTGTGAGGCAGGGAATCTGTCATTTGCTCAGTGTTATAGTATCACGTGACCTGCATCAGTGCTTGAGACATTACAAGTATTAATTATCCACCGAGTAAATTCACTGAGTAAGTGAATGAACTAAAGTCAGGTGAGAGCCAGGATTCTGTAATCCTGGGAGAATCAGGATTTCAAGGCCAGCCTCAGCTTTCCTGAGTTCAATACCCAGCAACCACATGGTGGCTTACAACCATCCGTAATGAGATCTGGTGCCCTCTTGTGGCCTGCAGCCATATATGCAGGCAGTATACTGTGTACATAATAAATAAATAAATCTTTAAAAAACAACAACTCGGCTTTTCATTTTGTTGTGGGGAGAAGTGAATATAACATATTTTGCTTTGGAATATTTTGTAGACACATTTCAGTCTCTCAGCATTTCAAACTGACATTG